CCCCAAAACCCCAAAACCCCAAAACCCCAAAACCCCACGATTGTTTTTCACAAATGAATTATATAAATATGGAAAGAGTTAAACGCAAGCGCTATCTCACAACTAGAAAGAGTCCTTCGTAAGTACTTCTCCATTAGAGCTAACAGACCTCCTCATAATTCTACTGTCAATGGGAGGAGGGAGGATCTCTCCTCTCATCGAGTAAGAGAATATATTGTAAAATTACCTTTCTATTGTGAAATAAAATCGAAACCTCTTGTTCTGGATTTTACATTTAAGTTATCCATCAAATATGTTAATCCAAATCTACCGTATTGGGAGTCCCTAGTTGGATAAGTTTCTGAATAACTGTTAAAATTTTCACTTAGGCCATCTGCCTAGCCAAGGTTTATAAATTTTCTAATCACATTTATACAATATTTCTATAAGCAAGTTTACTAGTAACTTCTCGCTATAATTTGGCAATGCCAAATTATAGCCTAAGAAGTTACTAAAAAATTCTTTCTTAAATTTTCAGAAATAATTATGAATTATTTTAGCAACGAGGAAGGAAATAGTAAATTAGCAAAAGATTCGAGAAATTTTGTTGTTAAGAGAATCAGTTTGTTCCAAAATGAAGATAGTGATTGAGTCCCTCAGCAAATAGGAAGTATGGTTTGTACTATTAGCTCTAGCATCTGTTAATCCAAGAAGGAGCAAAAGATGAAATATTACGAGACTTGGTCATCTTAAAGATATGACAACTCATAACGCAGCAATTGCTTTGCATAACCAGTTGCCAGGTTCAGGTATTTTCATAAAAATTTTCTTCCTCATCTACTTATAGACTGAAACAAGGTAGATATTTATAGAAGGATGAAGTCGACCAGGCATACTCCTAAGAGGAAGAGAAAAGTACCCAAAAGCACAAAGAGTATTTCCTAATTTATTATAAATATAGATGTTCCTAAAAGGTAAACCATATATAAAAGTTAACCAGAATTCTAACTGTGAATAGGAAATCTAAAGCTGCACTTAGCAAACCGGCATGAATCACTCATAAAGTAGAGTAAGCTTGTACTAGCTATAATTTAGATACTTTTATGGGCCTTATGAATCAGAACGGTGTCAGAAATGTACTTATTGTCTGTAAAATTATAGATGGGCTTCAAAAGGACCAGGAAAAATGGATGACATTTGCCAACACTTCTGAACAGCCTTGGAATCCAATAGTAGATTGTATCCTTAGCCAAGAAGGAGATTTTTACAATAAAGTCATTAAATTCATGAAAGGAGACCAAAAGGATGCCTCTCCTAGTAAGAAAGGGTCACTGATGAATTTAAACCTCTCAAAACTGAAACCTTACAGGAGGAGGTTTCGTAGAATTTCTCGAAGACAAATGGTAAAAACTCAATTAACCTCTAGGATGAAAAAGTGTGGAAACCTGTCAGGGAGGAGGCTAAGCAGCATGATTCAAACACAAACAAAACAAGTTCGAGTATTTTCAAATGTGATTCTAATCAAAATATTGTCAAGCCTCCTCCAATGAAGAGGCTTGAACCTGTTAGAGGTATAGCACCTGTGATATTTTAGAATTTGCACCAAACACTTTAGTTGAAAACAAAGAAAATAAGGATTCTATTAAAGAAGTTTCATTTGAGACTACCTTAAAAACTGAATCTTTCAGTTGATCTTCTTCTGCGGCTACTGTCGAGAATTTTCCAGTCATCAAACTGATCAAGCCGGAAGAGACACTAAGGGAGGAACTCTTCGAGCTTTCGAATAATCAAACCGAGAAGGGAGATCATCACAATGATAAGCTATCCCAATCATCTCTATCATGAGATTCCTTAGAGAGTATTGAGAAGCTAGTCCCTCTCAGAGTCAAGTCAACCTCATTGTAAGCTCTACAAGTTAATATCACTGTAGTAACAAAAAGAGCTTAGCAAACGATGCAACTTCTCCAAAAGAATCGAAAAAGAAGTTAAAAATTTCTGGTAAAAGGATACAAACTGACTTAGATTTGGTCAAGAAGAAGGTAAAATATCAGTTTCTCAATCTCACGACCCATAGATCTCTAGTCCAGCAGAAGTTAAGAACAAACCGAAATAAACATCACAAGAGGAAAATTTTAAAGACCTTCAAAGTCAAAAAGTCAATGATTTCTGCAGAGATTGTTCCTATCACTCTTCAAGGCCAAACTGAGTAAGGTTTCTCACCTTGAGCTGGGTTTTTACATACATTCTTGGCTTATTCATTCTGTTAGGAAAATTGCCCAGGAGCAAGAGGCGCTGAACAGAAAAACTATCAATATCATTAGTCCAAGACCTTCGACAAGGATATTGGATATGATAATGATGGAAAATACTCTCAGCCAGAAACCTATAGTAAGCCACTTAGTTGATACATCAAATAGACTCCTCATGCACAAGATGTCCAACCAGGCATGGATACTTTCACAGATGCTGTTGTGAATAAGCCTAATAGAAAGAACTCTCCTCATAGGAGAAGATTCAATTCCACAGCTGTTCCTCAAAGGAAGACTAGGAATTCTTATAAGATGTCTACAAGCCTAAAGAAACCACCTTGCCAAAAGAATAGCTTGGAGGATTCCACTACTGAGCTATTCAAAACAAAGCTTAGCTTAAAATTTCAGCTCAGCCCTAAAAATATCCTGAAGCCTGTCAAAGAGAGGATGGATACTAAAGGTATGTCCAGTTATCAAAAGGCTGTAAAGCGAGTTCAAGACTCTGCTGGGTACTTCATCGACAAGTTTTGCAGCAATGATACAGGCTTTGGAAAGAGGGAGCACACAATTAGCAAGCAATGTCAGGAAGATTCCTCCTACAAGAGATTACTATCCTTAGAAACTTCTAAACAGAAGGACATTGGGTTGAGCCTGATCTCAAACAACTTTAAGGTAGTTTTTAAGAAAATCTTTTAGAGAAATGTCACTGATGTTAACAGATACAAGTTCCAAAGTAGTGGTCTCCAAAATGACTTAGGGCTTGGCAGTGGAAAAGATATAGGGTAAGTTCTCATTCTGAGTTGGCTCATGGCAGGTTTAATACTCTAGATCTTCATTACATCAACCATCAATCTCTACAAAAGTGACTGATAAAGCCTCTGACAGGCTAAAAATTTACCAAGATCTGAAGGAAACAATAAAGAAAAAGCTGGGTTTGAAAAAGAAGCAGAAGAAGTGTATGAGAAATAAGAAAGTGTCCTCTGTTTTATCACAGAGAAATCATGACTCTATTATTAAAGGAACAAAGAAGAAGGCTCATCTGAATGATGGAAAACAAGATTTTAGCCGCACTTTCGTGATAAGCGATGATTTATCTCTTGATATGATTAATATCCCTGTACTATCAAGAAACGGTATATCGTTCTAAAATATCCTCTAGAAAAATCCCGACCAAATCAAACTTCCACAACTCAAAATTCACCTCTATTTGGTACCAAAAGGTACAAAATCTTACCCTCTACTCTCTAAACCCCTTATTTCTAGCCGTATCCGCCCTCAAAACCTAATATGACACCCTAGGATAAACTCTCCTCAGCCAAATCACAAACCTTCCCCTCTTCTTCCTAAACGGAACCACAAAATATCCACTATAATTCAAAACACCAAGATATATTCAAGATCACCACATAAATCGCAAAGACGTCCATTTTCACCTCAAAATTCCTTTATGAAACAACATAAATGCTGTAAGGGCAGCAGCCCTTGCCCGCATCATTTTGTGTAATTATAAGAATTAAGGTATTTTTAAATGAAGATGATGTCTAAAGGGGTTTTGGGGTTTTGGGGTTTTGGGGTTTTGGGGTTTTGGGG